AGAAATGAGACGGTGCAAAGAGAGAAGAGGGAGGAGGAAGAGAAGAGATAAACGATGTGAGTGGAGGAGTCGGAATGGATATGGCGAAGAGTGGCGCGGGTTAAGCTGGGGCTGGAGCGAGAGGACTCAGCGGAATGTAGGGCCGCAACGAGGGCGAAGGAAAGGGTATGGTGAGAGCGGAAACGAGGGAGCGGCCGAGGGCGATGAGAGGGAGGGGGCGGAGGGGAGAGGCTCGCGCGGGGAAATGAGAGAGGACGCGATGCGAAGGGTGGAAGCATAGGAGCCGGGCGGGAGGGGCGGGGTAGTGAGGAAGGGGCCTGGGCGCGGATGGAGGGGGGGGGCTCGTGGATGGAGTATAGGGCGGGGGCGAGGGGTGCGTGGGCGGGCGAAGGCCGCGCCGCGCCGGTTGCGTGGGACGTGCACGCGCCCAGACGCGGCTGGGGCATGCGAGGCAGCGCCTTCGAGTTGCCCTTTTCGCCCTCCCCACAGACCCACACACCCGCGCGCTCGATACTTATCGGGCGCTCCCCCTCGGCATGCCGATCGCCCTGCGTGCGCCGCAGCCGGGTCACTGGTTACGCAAGGGACCGTTAAACCCCGCCGCCTCCCTCCAACGGTGAACTTTCATTGAAACTGATGGAATAAAAAAGGGGCTGGACGAGCTATCAATGAAAATACCCAAATCTCTCAGAGAAGTGATTTCCTATTTTTCTTCGAGAATCTATTTGGAGCGGTGGCGTTCGTAACTATGTTACTTCCAGCCGATTGTCCTCCCGCAGAGAACTTTAATTCACTGCCAATTTTTGTACTTATATGTTATTATAAATCAGTGTTTTCTTAATTACGTAAAAATAATAAGGTAAGCTACAACAGATTCCTGAAAAATCAACTCAATGCGAGTGGTAATTTTGATTTTCTTGAATTAATAATGTATATTGTTTTAAAGACTTCCCCTATAATAGCTAACTGTTGTGCTAAGTATGAATAATTATTTCTATTCTTTAATTTAACGTATATAACATTCTATTTCTCCTCCCCCACTCTCTATCTTTTACTTACCGTACATAAAAAACCGCGTATAAGAAAAAAATTCAGACAACCACTCCGAGAACTATGACTAGTGTATCTACATATTTAATGTTTTCAAACGTGATCTTAGTTTGACTTGATTTCAACAAAAAAATTTCTACCTAATCAACGCTCTCAAACAACCTCTACGCCGTTCTACAATTGTGCACCTGAAGCGCAAAACCTGCTCTCCAAGTACGAAAATCCCGACGCCCTCAAATGGTGTGTGCGCTCCGGCAGAGGCCACGCATGCACAGTGGCGTCGCCACGCAGGGCCGTCGACACTAGCTGTGTGGTCGCTGGGTCATTAAGCAAGCGATTAATCATTTTTCACGCACCGTATGTCTCTGCAACGCACTCGGCTGGCCCGCTTTGCCCCCGCCCGGGTCAACTTCGCGCTGGCCCGCGCCACCCGCGCCGCCCGCGCCGCCCCGCGCCGCCCCCGCGCCGCCCGCGCGCCGCCCGCGCCGCCCGCGCGCCCGCGCCGAGAAATTAACATTTACAATTTATAATGGAGACCTCTTGTGACTGGTGCAGCTTACCTTGTAACGCTCCAAGCCCTTCAATTCTAAAAGTACTTTTTGTGAATAATATATGGACATTTTCAGAACTCTGAGAAATTTTTAAGGGTATTTATCGCTTTATTGTCAACAAAAAAAGCAAAACAAGATATTGAACAAATGTACGACCTATTTAATTTATGTGATTGTTGAATCTCTGTCATAATTTAATGAATTATTAATAATAATTTAATATGCCTGAGACATTAGCACTCTTTTACAGAATTTAGGATTAGTTAGAAGTTATTATAACATCAAATCTTAGAACGTAACTACAGATTTTAACAGTTTGCTTTGAAATCTCATTTGCCTCACACGCATTAGAAGGGTGAATACGAGGTTTACATATGCTGTTTTAAAAGAATAAATGTCAACAGTGGAACGCTCGGAATAAGGGATATCTCGCGCTGAAGGAGTTTTCTGATTCTAACGTGGAATGAAGTTCAATAGTCTTCAGCTATCCTGGATACTTCTTGCGGTCAGCGCTTTTTAATTCAAAGGTCTTTTGCCGTTCTTTCATTTCTCACGAGAGGAGAAGAGAGGTACAAAAGGACCACGCTGAGCTCCTTGTGAAGAAATATTGAGGAAACGGACTACAAAAGGCCCTTTATGCGGGGAAGGCAAAGTAAATATCTTGGGCTCACTTGCCGATATATCTGCATTCGCTTCGTAGAAGATGAATTGCAGAACAGAAAGCGTCACAAAAATCTGTGTAGGAAATAATGAAACACAGCGTTCACTATTTTCTTTGCTTTGACAATGGAAGCGAATAGCTGTAGTCGTATGAAATACGTGTTGAAATTTGTAGAAACAGTTGTATAATTCTGAAATACGAAGTTTTTTATGTTTTAGTTTTGTTTAATCACAACAAAGTTGTAGTACAATATATAAGAAATGTAGTACAATATATAAGTTGATCTGAAAAACGATAGAATTTAAAGATGGTTCAGAAAAACTCAGTTTCAACAATTGAAAACTCGAACATCAATATAATGATACAGCCTACCATGTAAGAAATTATATGTGTGTATTAAAAGTGCTAAAAGTATAAAATGTTATTCTTAATTGAAAATGTTTTATCTTTTAGAGCTTTGTTCCAAGTCTGCATTAGCCAACACGTTTCAGAGGATAGAATTCTACGTTCAACAATATCACTGAAATGTTCATAAATTTAACGATTCAGTTCTTTTAAACAAGGAAGAATTTATAAATTATTTTTTCTATAAAAGTGGGACTTTCATACATAGAGTTGAGTATCCAGCTTATCAATTTCTAATTGTAACGGCTAATTCTGAGCATAAATTACTAATGTTCACTCTTAAGATCAAAAATCATACAATTTACATCCTTTACTTAAGTGTTAAATGTTGTAAATTCAATAATGATGGTACCGTCCTGGAAAGATTACCGTTCTTCATCTCAGTAAAATCATGACAGGTGACAATGAAAAATATTCAGTTGTCTTCCTCATTTATAGCAACTACTACATTTAGAACATGTCAGTCACACGCAAATATTTAACAAATACGTACATTTAATGGTTTACTATTAATTTAAAAATATTAAGAATTAAATCTTCACTATCACAACGTAGAACTGATAAGAATTTTGACAATGAACTTACCAATGATATAGTAGTGCTAGCAAAGCTCATAACTTTTGCATTATTTGTAACTTTTGCAATTTTCAACTATTTAGATATTTCATCAAAAATAAAACATGCTCCATGTCTTAAGCATCCTTTGCTCTAGGGGAAAAAACGAAAAGAAGATAAAAATAAAACCGTTTCTGAGATAGCATTCTTTATAAACAAGCTGAACTCCTCCGGTTACATCACACCAAAAAAAAAAAATATATAAATGATTTCGAAACTCCAGAAGACTTAAACAGCCATCTCTTGCCACTTAAAATAATCGATTGGAAATATTGAATCATCTATACTGCTTTTTGTCTTCAAAAGAAACAGCTACTAAAATTTTTATTTCTTTAGATCAGACATTAATTCTCAAACATTTTTCCGCTTCCCTGAACAGTAAGTTAAAGATGCTTAACTTTATAGCAGAATGTATATATTTAGCTCGTGCTCTTCGGTTCTTTAAATATTTTCATGCCCATAGATTATTTTAAAGGGAATAAGCTCATGGATATTGTGACTCAGTGCTACTGTTGGCTCTTGAAAGAGGAAAACAGATTATCTTACACCTAATTGGTTTCCTTCTGAAGCGACTAATAATTTAGCGGTAAAGAAATATTCCTCACCTTAAGCAACTTGAGCCAGGGCGGCAACCAGCTTAGGCGGCCCAGGTTATCCACTGAAGTCACCACAATGCACTGAGATGTTCTAGGGTTCCTGTCCCGACGTTGGCAGGATTTCTGACACTGGCTAAGTAGCGAGATGAAATTCAGCCGCTGTCTGGAGGAGAATTCCAGCATCCGGCTGCTTTGTTTGGAAGTACTGCTTGGTTTTTTTTTTCGATCAACACCAGGCAAATGCCGGAGCAGTACTTTAATAAACGTACCACAGACCGCGCACGATCTTTATTTAATCTTCCTAGTTCCATCCTCCCCCTTTACTTACACACACTTGCACTTAAATGCCCCCAAACTACCACACATGACGGGTGGCTAGTCCGGAGCTTAGTGTTTGTCCCGGCGGTGCTCCGTTGGTGGGAGATAGGAATATCTCCGATTGGAAAATGTTGATAGGAAAATCTCAGCAAGCTCTCTTGTAGGTCGGCGCCAGATCTTGCCATCTAGCGAGGAAAGATCATCGCCACCTCACGCGATAAAAACATACACTACACTTACGGGACCGATGACCTTAGCAATAGACACGCTCAGACACGCTAACTAATTAACCGTCTGTCTGTCAGTCTGTGGTCAGCAAAAAACGTTTAAACCGTTCTGCGGATTATGTTCAAAATTGATATTTCCGGAGATTGATTTAAAGGGACGTGAGGCCTTGCAAGATTGAAACGGATATTCTGATTTCTTTTTTCATATTAAGCCTGAATGTTTTCTCATACGTTTCTCAAAATCGCTCCAATTTTTTTTTTGATCGCAAATAAACTTGCAGTAAAATGTTACGGAAATATTGTTATAAAATATTAGGTTATATCAGTAACGTAAATAAAATATATTTCTCAAATTTCCTTATTTTGTAGATTTTAATAGCGTACGTATATCTGTCTCTAAAGTCCACTTGACACCAGATGCAAACTAGGACAGCGGTCGGGGGGGTCGAGGGGCGTTCGCGAGCAGCCAAAGGGGTACGAGTGTTTGCGGACGCCCCCGCGTGTGCACTCAGGTCTTCCTCGCCCCTCCACTCACTCGCACACCCTTCGGTCCCCCATGCAACCCCTCTGAGTCTACATGCCTCCCACATGCCGCTGTAACGAACGTTGCTCCCACCACGCAGCCCTGTCTCCGCCCTCGCCCGTCCGCTCCACGCCGCGCACGCCTCCCCCGCTCACCGCCACGCCCTCCGCTCCGCGTCACTCCGCTCCGCCCCGCCCGCCTAGCTCCGACCCGTTGTACCGCCCTACCTCTGTCCCCGCCCTTACGCCTCGCGCTTCCACGCCCGGCCCCGCCCCCGCGCCGCGCCGCGCCGCCCGCCGCTCTGCCGCCCTGCCGCCCTGCCACCCAGCCTCCCCGCCGCCCGCGCCGCCGCCCGCTGCCCGCTGCCCCTCCCGCGCGCGACGTCGCGTCGAGCACGTTGATTGTGTTAATGTAAGTGTCGTGTCTAGTAATTAGCGCTATAATCCCCTGGCCCTGTCCCCTCCGCGTCGTGGCTCGGGCCTCGTTCGCCAAACGGCCGCGTGAGCGCGCTGCCTCTCCTCGGGCGATGCCCTCCACCTGGTTCCTCTTCCGGATCTTCTCCCCCACCCTTGTGTCCTCGGCCTTGCCCGTCCACAACCCCCCACCCCCTCTCTGTGCCTCGTTTCCGCTCTCTGCAGGATGGCTAAGTTAAGTTTTTCGCTGGTATGAAATATTATCCGCGGAGCCAAGTTTTTAGCAGGTATGCTGTGAGTCGGCAATTTAACGTGTCACCTGCGATATTTATAGGCCGAAGTTGTGGCCGTACCTGGTCATTTTCTTGCAAGTTTTTGGCGCGACTGTTTTCTTTGCGATTACGGAAAAATTCGCGGACATTTCTATTACTTAACAAACATCTCATTACACTTTAGTATGTAAAAGCCAGAAAAATATTAGAAGTAGCTTCCACTTCATTTCATCCTTACGAATGCGTTTCTGTAATGAGATTATTATTAACTTCAAATAATTTTAGATAAACTTTCCATCAACAAAATTCATTGATATTAAAAATTTATTTGAAATAACCACACATTGATATTTTAATGAAATGGTTACCAATTAAATTAATTTGGTGAAGAAACAAGTTTAATTATTTCGCGTATGTTTAAAAATATTTTTTTCGCGTATGTTTAAAAATATTTTTTTGCGTACAAGCCAACTGGAACCATGCGTTTATCCTGCTTTAGCAGGTGATCTTCCAGGGAGGGGGATCAGCAATTCTGCTAAATCCCGGTTTTTATCTCCCAAGGGTGTTAAACCTTTGGGATGAGGTGATGATCATAGTGAGGGGTGTAAAGACGGCACACACACACAGCCATCACAAATACACCCATGTCCGACGCGGAATCGAACCTTGAGTATTCTGGTCCAAGATCGCTACGGCACTACTGCCCTTGCGTTTTCGGCCATCTGACCGGCCAATTATACCTTTATTATATCTACAGTCATCTTTATCTAACACGGTACAATCTTATTTAGAAAATTAAAAAGCGCGTGAAATATGTGAATTTCTTATGGTTTACATATATTATCACATATGTTATTATAAAACTCTTCACTATTAGTTTAAAATCACAACATTATATGTTAAATCAGTTCATTTTTTCATGTGTACGAACAAATTGTTGTTTTTAAGCTGGAAATTTTAGAAATTATACTTAAAAGGAGTTGTTTTGGTAAACGACCATAAATTAACATTTTATAATAACTACAACAAATAATCATAACTATCAAGAGAAAATGTCATTACATCTTTATCACAAGGCTATATACGCAACAAATGTCTAGTTAACTTTATCTTTCACTGGCAAAGGGATCTTGTATCTGCATAACAAACGCTGCAGCGTCCTGGAAAATTCCCGGAAAAGAGGTCAGCCGACCAGAAAGTGCTCCGAACCCGCGACCTACCGAATGGAACGGATGCGCCGCTCTCGCCACCCCGCCACTTCGCTCCCTCCACCCCCAGGTCCCGCTCGCTCTCGGGTTAATGCAGTTTGCTGCAGGATAATTTCGGGAATTCTTGCTGCGAGTAAATTAGTTTTTCCCCTCCGGACGCGAGTAATATTTGCCGCTTTCAGCGCCTGCATTCAAGCAGCTCGCGGACTCGAGAGACCGGGGCAACGATAGGGTGAGGGACGTCGTCACACCCCACGACCCCTCCGTCCTCCCTCTCACCCCATTCTCTGAGGTCTCACCACGCCATCTTCCCTCGTTCACACCCTTACCGCAGGCCCTTACTTGTGCCCTGCTCCGTCGTCCTTCCCTCTACGCCAACACCACTACCCATATCCCATCCCTCAGAACCTCTCTCACCCTCACCCTCGCTTACCCCACTCTTGTTTCTATGCTACCCTAGTCTCCTAACCCATGCCCTTCACGCCACCTACTCCACCCTCACTCCACCCTCAACCCCATTCCCCGAGCTTTCCCCACATCATCTTCCCTCACTCCTACCCTAATCCCAAGCCCCAGGCCCTTACACCTGCTCTACCCCGCCCACCCTCCACGCCATCACCTCATCCCTCAGTCCCTCTCACACTCTCGCCCTCATCCCCGCCCTCGTACCCATCCTAATTTTACTCCCGCCCTCCCTTTCCCTTCCCGCGTCCGCCCTCTCCTCCACCCTCGCCCCACCCACACAGTTCCGCTCTCGCTTGTATCCGCGGGCGCGTCAACGCACCGTCCCGGCAGTATATCACGGCCAAAGTTAAGAGTTGCGGATGTCCGAAATGCGCGCGGGAGTGGTAATGAACAAGTTTAAACTTTTAATGTGTCAGCGGTCGCGCCGGCGCTTGTTTGAAGCCTGGCTCGGGGCCGCTGCGGCCGGCGGCAACGCAATGAAATTAGTTGATCGCCGGGAAGTGCCTCCCTCCGTCGCGCCAAAATGTGGAGCCGCTTTCGAGACTCGTTTGATCAAGCTAAACAGGTTATGAAACTTGTCTGTCTGAATACAGGTGAATAAACAAGTAAGAGTGTGGAGTCGTTTCCAACTAACTAATTTTGTATTTAGTGGGGTTTAAACACACATATTAGTTTACAACATGAATACTAATTTTTGTAAGTGAATTTTCCCGTTTGTATATTTTATTTCATGACTTGTCCAGATATATCTTATCAGTAACAATGCAATTGAGAGAGGAAAATGTCAATTATTGATCAAAGAATTTCTTGAAAAACTTGGTTACTTTATGTTCCATAACCACTTGTGTTGAATAGCAGACATAAAGCGATACACTATTTCGAATATCTGATTATTGAAAAATACATTTTTAACAGATTTAACACATCATTATAAATGTTCATTAAATTATTATTCATAAATTTATACTTCAACGTACATGATCTGCCTTTAATAAACCGTGCATAAGTCCTTATAGGAATATATAATGGCAAACTCTTTATTCGGCAGTCCTTTCTCACAATAGTACCATATTTCTTCATTAATTATCTTTTCTTTTAATATCATACTTTATTCCACGCATTTGTATTTGTTTGTTTGTTTGTTTGTTTTGCGTAACAATTGTTTTATTTGCTTCACGAGTTAATCCTTCTCTGCAAACCCTTTCACACATTAGTCTTTCCGTCTCTTGGTTCTTTCTCTCCCCGGCCCCTCCCTCTTGTCACTCGTTCTGTCTTCATTGTTAGAAAACCTATCGCAGCCTTTCCGCTGCGCCCGCGGCCGCCCCTCCGCCGCGCGCCGCCGGCCCCGCGCAGCGCCCGGGGACCACGTAATTTCCCCGCTACGTGCGCCGCCTCCCGACGCTCCACCGCCGCTATTTATCTCCAGCGGCCGTAGGCGCAGGGCGGCCCCCGCGAGCGCCGCCGCCCCGCCCTTGGGCTCCCCTCTGACGCTTTCGGTCGCCCCCGTCCTCCCCGCCTCTCCCGTCTTCCCCGCTTCTCCCTTCGTCCGCGTCTCCCCCGTCAACCCTCTGCACTAGTCGCCACCCCCGCCGTTTCCATTATCCCCGCCATTCTTGTCATCCCTGGCTGACCCGGCTTCTCCGCTTCTCCCATCGCTCTCGTCTCTCCCGTCACCCCCCGCACTAGTTGTTACTACCACTCCATCCATCCCCGCCGTTTCCAATATCCCCGCCGCTCCAGTCATTTTCACCGTGTCCGTTACCTCCGCCTGCCTAGTTATTCCCGACACTCCAGTTTTCCCAGGCTCTCCCGGCTTCTCCGCTTCTCCCTTCATCGCACTGGTCGTCTCTGCCTCTCCAGCCATCCCCGCCGTTTCCATTGTCCCCGCCGCTCCAGTCAACCGTTTCCGTTATCTCCGCCTGCCTAGTTATTCCCGCCAGTTCAGTCATCCCTGGCTCTCCCAGCTTCTCCGGTTCTCCCATCACCCTCGCCTCCCCCGTCACCCCTCCGCACTAGTCACATCCACCACTCCAGGCATCCCCGCTGTTCCTAATAACTCCGTCGTCCCAATCATCACCGCTGATTTCACCATCCTCGTCATTTCCATCATTCCAGCCGTCTCAATCATCCCTACACCAGCAATATTCCTCGTCATTCCAGTTATCCCTGACACCCAGCCGTCCCTGCCACAACATTCACTCCCGCCGTTTCCGTCATCCTCGATGATCCAGTCGCTCTCACATAATCTCCGCCTCTCGCGGCATCCCCGTCGCGCTCCCTTTCTTCGCTTTCCACAGTTCACCATCGCCTCCCTCCCAAGACACTACCTGTTCTCACCCCTTTCCTCTCCTATGTTGTCCGCCTCTTTTTACAAAGCCACTGCTAATATTTCCACCCCTGCCGTTACCTTGCCCTCCGTAGGTTTTCTGTGGTTGTTTCCTACTCCCCCAATGAGATGTAAGTGTATTTCTGCACACACGCTTGCGATTCTTTGTGAAGGTACACAATTTCGCTTCTTTTAAATTCAGTTATTACGTCATCGGCTTTTTCGCAATTTAGATTTGTTTTTGAAATACACGCGAATCTTTTTGTTCAGTATGAATGAATCTTAGAATGGAGTGTATTCTAGTAATTGAGTTTGAGAGAATTTTCTGTATTTTGCAGGATTCACGGTCCCATATCACATACGTCTGTGGGAAATTGTATGCCAAGGAGAAGGATTATATGACGATGTGCATTGAAACTTCATATCGTTAGGCTTTAAGGATAGTATTGGGACAAAAAAGAAAGGAAGGACAATTTTTAAAGTAATGCTCGCCATTTGGTTAGTTCATTTTTTACCTTTCATCTAACTTGGTTTTTGTATCCTGTTTTTGTATCCGGTAATTGAAATAACCTTGTTTTTGTTTCTTTGTTTTTTGTTGTTGTTTTTGTAATAAGAACGCATTTATATTATACATTTTTAACGCTTTCACATAATTTACATTGTTACACAATCAACATAATTTATTTCTACATATTATTTTATACACAACAATATACATTTTCACTATCCTATGCTACATATTTGCTTATCACATGTAGGTTTACTTTTACGTTGCTTTATTGCTGTATAGGGCCATCCAGTTTTTTGCTGATCTTAAACAGTTTTCTTGGTTAATCGTCTCTGCTGCTTTCTTCTCCTCCGCTCTCAACTACTACAGCTCGCACCTTGTATCTCCAGATCAGATGCTTCATTGAACCTATTTAATATGCTCAATATAATTATATGTGAAAATATTTACCTATTTGACCAAACATATATATATATATATATATATATATATATATATATATAAATTTGCCACTCTAAATTGGTCTAAACATGCGACTCTAAAATATATAAAATTATAATATTCTCATATAGTGTATGTGTTGTCTTTCAGAGATAAATATCGACAATTCATCTGAGACTTCTTGTATCGCATATGCAACATGCACAAAATCCCTTTAATTATTTCTCCCTGTTTCACTTTTGCCTTACTTGGATTCGAATAGACTGAACAACATGAAGGGATGTAGATAACGACATTAGGCATTCCTCTATGGCGCTTTCAGTGCGGTCTAGTTTTTTTTCCATACCAGTTTTGAAAGGTGAACGTTATTGCATCAGTGTTTGCAATATACGAACCTGACACTGGATGGAATGTTTTATTTATTCCTGCCAACATTCGATTTCCATTTGGTATTGTTACGCACTGTATCGGCTTATCGAGCGCGGAAAACAGGTTTGAAGCGCAGCTTCATAACTGGACAGACTGCGGCAGCGTATCATGGGTATTATTAAAAATATAACTGTCACATAAGAGCCTTGCCGAATGGTTGGGAATTGTCTCTTAATGCAGATGTACCCGATTCGAATTCTCATACACGGTATCCGTTCGATCATATTTTCTTCTTTTATTGCGATCGTTTCCATTTTGCAGCGTACGCTGGCTTTCTCTTTCCGAATTTCGTGCTCCCGTATCGTGTTTGTACTACTCTGGTTACGGGGTTCACTTTCAAACGCACTTCATTGACCGTCTGTCGTCATTTAGGAGTAAATTAGGGATCTGTTCATTTGTGTGTCTCAACTACAAATCATGGGATGTTAATATTCTATGCTCTCTCTGTAAAAAAACCATTTTTATATTTTTCAAATGTTTTTTTACATATTTTACAAAAAAGCCATTTTTAAGACAGTAAATTGTATAATCGTGTTGTATTTCATTATTTTTGATTAGCAACGAAAAAGATAATTAACTTTGTTTAGATTTAGGAAGAATGTAATCAAATTCTTTGTTCTTTATTTAACTACAATTTGCTCATATCCTTAATCGAGTTAATAGCATTTTTTCGAATTCTTTATTTAGTCATTACTCAGTAATTACTTAGATATTAATTAGTAATTACATTCCTAATAATACAATACAGATTTATTTTTCGGTTTGTAGAATTTACGAATTTAAATACTTCTTCGTCTATTTTGTATTTATTATATTTATTTATGTATTCACGTATCTTCAGACTGTAATATAATAGAGTTAATTACAATATTTTATTCAAATTGGTACTAAATTTATTAAAAGCGAGTAACAAGTACGTTTTCGGCATTATTATTATTATTATTATTATTATTATTATTATTATTATTACCATCATCATCATTGAGAAAACACAATAATTGGTCGCAAACAACTCATTAAATTAATGACCATTATTTTATCTATTTTCTGTTTTCAGTTCTCATCTGGGTACACTTCCATTGCATCTTATGTCTGAGATTTCAATTGAAATTTACATTTAAAAAAATCATTATTCTAATTTTAGTTTGAATTAAATCATGTATTTAGAACTTTTTATACTTTTAACGACTGACAAATTACTATACAATTATTTGTTATTTCATATCACCTGCAAGAGCACTATCTCCCAACAAATGACAACAAAACCAGAGCCATCCTCTTCAAATTACTTATCCGTCTGAAATTTATAACCCGAACAAGTGGAGGGTAGGACTGGTGATGAGCATAGCACTGCGGTTTGTTTTGCTTCGGAGAGAAAGAGCCATTGGTTTACTCATTACATCTGACAACTGAAGACTGATCTACACCAATGTTCCGTATACATGGCCCTCTGGTAATGTCATCTTTCTATTTTCAACAATACACGTGATAGTCTATTTAAAATCACGGGAAAATGCCAACACGTTCGATAATAATCATAAATATTGTCAACGATATGAAGAACGCAAGTACTCTAAAGTAACCACAAGTCTCTAAAAGTAACCACATATTCCAGTCATGCTACACAACAGTTTCTAATACATGAGTACATGACATTATTCGCTTTAACAAAAAACATACAGGAATTTCTTTTTTAAAGCCCAGATTCTCATACAATTTATCGTAAAGTAGTAAGTGTTCCAAACAGGTAATGAGTGATCAAATTATTAAGTTATTTTTGTGTGATTATCGTAATGTTTCTATGAAAAATTGCCTGAAAATAATTATTATGGGGGTTAAGGCATAGGTATTAATGGCTGATTAATTAGGATTACATACTACGTTATGAAAAAATGTTTTATTACTTCAGGACAAGAACATTAATGCATCATATTATACCGCCTCGACGCAACTGTCGTCGTTGTTAGTTCTCAGGTGCACCGGTGTCTTTTCAGAACTACACTTCGCTTGATCGGGTTAAGAAAGGGAACTAAGAAATTAAAATCGTTACAACCCTTACTAATTTAAAGAAACTTTTGAAATAAACAAAAAAAAATTAATTACTCAAAATATGTATATCATTTGTGAATTAAAAGTGCAAGTAGTTTTTCACCTGAACTTTCACGCAAAATTACGCGAAAAACTCATTTTCTAAAAAAAATTGTACAATTGTACATTTTCTAAAAAAATTGTTATTTCAAAAGCTATCTTGAAGTAACAGACTTTGTAAAGAGGAAAATGTCTAATGTCTATCTTTATAATTGTAGTTGTATGAAAACAAATATTTTTTTTACAATTTTGCAATTTTAGAAAAATCAGAATTGTCAACGAAAATGAGTCGTGCTTAAATGTCTTTTATCTATCCAACAACAAATTTTACTTAAAAAGAATGGAGCCATTTTAAATTTTGAAAATGTCCCAGGACCTTCATGTTAAGTATCCCCAAAATTACAATATCGGTTTCAAATTCAAGAGGACGCGATATTAAATGGATTGATTTTGGAATATCAATTTTGGTGTAAATCGTCTGAACTGTTTAGACGCTAGCGTTGTTCACAGACAGAGAACGAACAGACAGACATTTTGCCCGTCATTCAATTTTTCGGTATCAGAACGCACAAAACCAGTTTCTGGCTACACCACGTGTTGAGAGATTTATTCTTAATTTAAGAGATTTACTTAACTGAACTAATCCACTTTTCTTTACCAGTCACCGCTGTAATAAGAGATTTTCTCTGAAAATTCGCCGTTTTTGCGCACTAACATTTATTCTTACTGAATAAAGCGGGTAGCGAGAAGTAAAATGCAGTTACACTGCGTTTAATTGCATGTCATAACACTGTCAATGGCGGAGATATTTATGGATAAGTTGTGATTTTTGTTTTATTAGTTGATATAACGAATGTTTACTGAAGAATGAGATAAAAATTGTAATGTTTAATCCGCCTTGGGGAGTAATATGCAGACGGAAGTAAGAATTATAATAGCATTTCCGACATTTGAGTGTTACGAGAAAATTAAGTTTTACGAATAATCGAAATCAAAACTACTTCGCTAGAAATCTGTTTATGCTCTTTCACACTTCCATAGAGCCGAAAATACACGGTTACAAAGCGATATTTTCAGTCGACTGAGTTGGAATGAGTTCGTTCTGCATGTGTTCGTTTAGCGAAAGCTCGAATCAGTGGAGCATGAATAAATTCTGAGTTGGCAAATTGCACGTCAGTCAATAATTCAACGCAACAATTGGACATTTACAAAGATTAAATATAAACTAATGAAACCATTGGAAGTACTTTTCTAGCTTACAGCTCTCAATTGCTTAATAAAAGTAATATGATTTTTCGCGAGATAAAAGTTTAACTGGAATCTAAAAGTCACAGCAATGCAATGCACACAATAGAATGCGTTTTTTCAACTGCCCTGGAATTATTTGACGTTTGAACAAAATTTAATGTATTGAGCTTCTGCCGCAATAATTGTTTCTTGTGTTTTTTAAAGGACTGTTCGTTAACTTTCCGACCGCCAGTTTTGCGCGCCCGTACTTACCATTTCTATATGTTTATTTGCTTGTTTGTAATGACAGAGACCTTAAACATTCATCCATTGGCCTTCCGAGCTGTGGAAAAAATTGCTGGAAGTTTATTAGTTAGTATCTATTTTACTTCCCGTGATATCAGTAAATTTTAACTCGCATGCTAGCCGCTCTGAAATACCGCGACAATGGTCTGAGTCAGTGTCGCTCCGACCATTGGCGAGTAAAGACCTCCCGTTGTGCGATAAGCGGTAGCGATAAGCTGTAGTGAGCTCCGAGTGCGCAGTCTAGGCCGTACAGTGCCGAGTGTTGTGTTGTTTCGACTTCAGTGTTAACAAGATCCACTGAATCAAATCCACGAGTGTGGTAAACTCACTTATAACATCGTGTGTACTTGGTACACCCAACGACCATTCTAAGATGGCTTTCTGACAAGGAGTCATCCCTAACAGTGAAATCCAACAGTCAAGTCAAGTTAATAATGGAAAACAGAATTCTGCAAACAGATATTCGACTGCTGCTCACAAAGGTATGTCCCCTACAAAAGAAACACGCGATTGTGATTGACTCAGTAGAAGAATATCAGTTAAAACGTCATCCAGGAACTTGCAAAAATTATTACCTCATGAACATACGGTTCGTCTCAAGGATTTCAAAAACCGTATATGTGTATATCTCGATTCCAAGGAAACCTGTAAACAATTAGTTGACCAATAAATCAACTATTTCAATTAATAACTCAATTCTAACTATTAGACCACTAATTACGCAGAATAAAAGACTCATTCTTTCCAACGTGTGTCCTATTATCCCACACTCAGTAATTATTGATGAGCTAACGAAACTGAAAATACGAATAGGCTCTACAATGACCTTCCTGAGAAGCTGGCATGTCAGAAACCAGGATTCAGCCACATTTTGAGCTTCTGGCGACAAATTTACATTCATACCGGATGACATGGACAAAGTACCAGAAACATAAAATTAAATACGACGACACAGCTTTCTGGATATATCCATCTTCAGATGCTATATCATGTTTTCTATGTAAAGAACACGGACATTTTGCAAATATTCCCTATGAACGAACAAAAAGATAACCCCCAGGACCCGAAGATTTCACAATGAAAAAAATCAGCTGTCCCCCCTCCTCCTTCCCAGCACTTAAACCCTCCTCAACGGCGTCTCCTCCTATTGACAACCTACCTCCAAAAAATGTTAAACGCCCCTTATCCAGTAGTCTATCTTCAAAATCTGAACCACCAGAAACTTATATCCAATCGCAAGTGAAGAAATCTTAAACCCATCTTAAAGAAACAGTCTCAGATATAATAATTTACAGTTGATTTCACCAGAGTCAATGGATTATAAAACCATCAAATCTAATGACTTCACATTGACCAAGTCAAATTCCAAAAAAGCAATAAAAAATCCAAACTCGAATTTCTGCTGCTCAGAGAAGTCAGATAATTAGAAAACCAACTTGCCCCACTTAAAGAAACATTATCACAAACAAGTAATAAATATGTTTTAACTGTTCACTCAAGAGTCTTTCGAAAAAACAAAAATTGCATAAACATCGAGGAAACCGTTCTCGAATTCACTCCACATATTAAACGGCTACTACTAATTTTAGAAGAAACCTACCCCCTCCTTACGGATAAAAGCATCAAAAGACGCTTCACAAATTTAAAAAAAGAAATTAAAGAGTATTGACAAAATAAGTGAAATGCAAACTCCAGTGACAGTGTGAAGATTCAATTTGATACTCTCTTTAAATTATGCTCCTAAAATGGCATACACCATTCTCCAATGGAATATAAATAGGCTTTAATCCCCAAAAAAGAATTTGCTTCTACTAATCAATAAACTCAACCCCGATATGATCTGCTTCAAGAAACTAATAATAAAAATATACCCAAAAGCCACATTAAAAAACTACAATTTGTATTTAAAAAAACACGAACAGATGGAAGCATAGCAGTGGGGGAGTAGCCATCTACACAACGTCCAGCTTATAAAGTGGATGAACTTCATCTCAATTCCACCCTTGATGTTGTGCTGTCACGATTAACCACAACAAACAAGCCCACAACAGTATGTAATGTTTATCTCCCCCGCAGTCTGGCATTTCACTTCTAGTGAACTGATCCACTTAGTAAATCAACTTCCCGGAGCCATTTATACTATTAGGCGACTTCAAACAGTCACAGTTTCATATGGGGATCAAATAAAGATGACTCAAGAGGTAAGATACTTGAATAAGTATTGGATAGTACCAACGTTAATATACTCAACGATGGTTCACCTCCCCCATCTGAACAAACTACTTATAAACACTCAGTACCATTGATCTAACCATCAGTTCTTAATCAATTACTCATCTCTGGGACTGGAAAATCTCTGATGAACTATTTGGTAGTGATCATTTTTCTATTATAATCACCAAACAAAGGTCGTGATACTGCATATGAAAACCAAGTGTACTCCCAATGGGAAACTTTCGAGCAGACTTC